CCCTCTCCCCCATCTCTCTGTCGGTCTCTCTCCCCCCTCTCTCTCTCTCTCTGTCGGCCCGCTCGCGGCCCTGCACCCGTGCCGCCCGCAGACAGGCAGTATGCATAGCCGCGCTGACTCTAATGCAGGCAGGCAGGCATGAGAGAGATCAATATATAGGTCGCAGTTACTGTACGCCTATTATTAATTAGTATCGGTGGTACAGATGTAACGAGTCTTGAGTATCGGTTGGGTGGGGCAGTGGGTGGGGCAAGGTGGTCGCAGACGGAGGGTAGGGGGATCGTGGCGTAAGCGCGTGTGTACGTGATCAGCTGATGCCTGCGGTAGCTGCAATAGCAGCAGAACCACCACCACCACCACCACCACCACCACCACCACCAGAACCAGCAGTGATGGCAGTAGTAGCAGCAACAGCAGCAGTAGTAGTAGCAGTAGTAGCACCAGTAGCAGCAGTAGCAGCAGCACCACCACCACCACCACCAGAACCAGCAGTGATGGCAGTAGTAGCACCAGTAGCAGCAACAGCAGCAGTAGTAGTAGCAGTAGTAGCACCAGTAGCAGCAGTAGCTGCAGCAGTAGCAGCAGCACCACCACCACCACCACCAGAACCAGCAGTGATGGCAGTAGTAGCACCAGTAGCAGCAACAGCAGCAGTAGTAGTAGCAGCTGTAGAGGAGAGAGAGAGAGAGAGAGAGAGAGAGAGAGAGAGAGACCGAAGAGAGAGAGAGAAGAGAGAGAGAGAAGAGAGAGAGAGAGAGAGAGACCGAGGATGAGAGCGGAAGCGAGGACGATGTGAGCGAGACGATCGAGCGAGAGAAGAGAGAGAGGAGAGAAGAGAGAAGGAGGAGCAGGAGATGCGAAAGAGAGAGGAGGAAGGGCAGAGGAAGGAGGGCGGGAGAGAGGAGACAGAGACAGAGAGAGAGAAGGAGAAGAAGAGATGAGAGAGAGAGAGACGTAACGAGAAGACGGGAGAAGAGAGAGAGAGAGGAGGGCGCGGACCGGCGGCACATGTGATAACACTTAATAACGTCATCCTCCAATCACTCACTTAATCAGTTGCTAATTCACAGCACGCTCCAGATTACAGATTGAGAGAGAGCAGGATGAGAGAGAGCGAGAGAAGAGAGAAGAGAGAGAGAGAGAGACAGAGAGAGACAGAGAGATGAGGGGTAGAGAAATGGGACGTAAAGAAAGACCTCTCCTCTCTCCTCTCCTTTACTCTCTCCTCTCCTCTCCTCTCCCTCCCCTCCTATGCTCACCTCTGTCCCCTTCGCTCTTCTCCTCTACCTGCTCTTCTCCTCTAGATCTCCATGCGAACGCCCAACCTTCCTTACTCTCGTACATGAAAGATAATTCTATTGACTGAGATTTCATTTAATATTTCTGGCTGCGAAGATGTTGGCGCAAGCAAGCTAGTGTAACGTCTATTTTATACGCGTTACGTGGATTAGTCAGTGGAGCTAGACTGGTAGTTGTTTTAGCCATAGTCCAGCTAGACAGCGTCGCTCAACGAGATGGGCGGCTACATTGATGTATTAGGGAGAATGGCAGGACGTGGTTAGGTTAGGCAGTTTCGAGAGTCAGTGTGAAATTGGGGTAGGACGTAGTCTCTGAGAACGGGTACATGTGCGGGCAGTATGGTTGTAGGAGTTTTGGGGGGTAATAGATAGAACAGAGATAGAGGGAGATTCGGGTTCTGGGCAGCGAGCTGAGCACACGCGCGTATGCGCGTGTGCGCGTGTCTTTGTCTGTTTGTGCGATTGTCTGATGTGGCTACACAGTGTATGAGTATTAAAGGTTG